TATACAGAATTATTACATATATTAATCATATGTTAAATATGTTATGAAATTACCAAAATTATAGGTTATCATATATTTATTATCATTACATAAATGATCATAAATATTTTAAATGTTTACATATATATTTTGTATCAACACCCATAAATTTATAATGGAATGAAAGTCTATTGTAATATATGATCAATACACATGTGTGATTAATTTGTTATATATATATATATATATATATATATTTTGTATCAACACCCATAAATTTATAGTGGAATGAAAGTCTATTGTAATATATGATCCATAGATATGTGTGATTAATTTGTTATATATATATATTTTGTATCAACACCTATAAATTCATAGTGGTATCAGGGTTTATTATAATATATGATCAATATAAATATGTGATTAATTTAGGTTTAATTAAACTATTATGTTATTAAATTTGTTATGCTATACATCACTTGATTATACAATATGTTATGTTCATAAATTTGTCATATTATATTTAATTAAATTATTATATTATTAAATTTGTTATACTATACATCACTTGATTATATAATATGTTATGTTTATCAATTTACCATACTATATTTATTATTTATTAATTAAAATGCCATCTTATAATATTTAATTATTGATTACATTTGGAAAAATATGAAACTATTATGTTATAGGATTTACTATATTATATATCTCTTGATTATATAATCTATTATGTTATTAAATTTGTCATGCTATGTATCATAATAATTTATTACTTTTTAATTAAAATGATATATACTTATATATTTAATTATTGATGACATTTGGAAAAAAAAAATCCGAACATATTATATATATAATAAAAACAAATGTATCATAATATTTTATTATTGATTATTATTAAAAAAAATTTATCCAAACTAAATCAAACATAATATAAAAATGAAAAAAATAAATAAATTATAATAATGCAAACCATGTTTTTCGAACATAAACGAACGAACAATAGAACGATTGTTCGCGAACGGATGGATCAATCGAACATATAATGTTTGCAAATATAATCGAACGAACAACTCCTGTCCGAACTCGATCGAATATATTATCGAACGAATGTGAACTGTTTGCGAACATTATTGAATAGTTATTGAATGAATTGTTCGCGAACTATTCGGTTTATTTGTAGCCCTATTCAGCCTTAACGACCTCCTAAGTATAAGTGGAGTTAGAGTTCAGTTTGTTTTATAATTAATGTGATGTTATATATCAATAAACACATTAGTTGGACTCAAAATTAGGATCCCAATTGAGTGTTGTATCCACATCTTAGGGTTAGTGAATTCTGAAGTTAGAGGTTTCATTTTTATTGTGTTCTCTCAAGAGAGTGAAGATAATATATAATGTAGTGTTGGGGTTTGGTTTTGTTTTAGAAAAATATTACGTTTACAACCCAATTTCATAATTTTCTCTTACAACTCTAACATAGCAACAGAGTTGACATAGTCACGTTAGCTTCCACCACACTCAAAACAATAAATGACTTTGACTAGACACGAACGATATTTCTTTCATAAGGAACGATATTTCTTTCATAAGGAACGATATTTCTTTCATAAGGAACGATCGTTCCTCACAGAAGGAATGTTGTTCCTTAGACATTCCTTCCTTATGGAATGAATGATCATACGTTTCTTATGAAGGAACGACCACTTCTTAGGTCTAGTCAAAATCATTTTGTGCTTTGGGTGTGGTGGATCTAGCATGTCTGTACCAACTCAATTGTCACGTTTGGAGTTGTAAGAGAAGTTTGTGAGTTTGGGTTATAGACGTAACATTACTCTTTGTTTTAGGGTTAAATAAGGTAAAGTGAGAGAAGGCCACTGATGTGATACATTGTGTGCGGATAGATCGGACATTTTAGCACTTATCTCATCAGTTCAATATTAATTGTTTAAGTTTAGAATAAGGTTTGCATATTAAATTTTACCTCGTAAATAACATGATGTTGTGTGAAAAATACAAGTGATGAAGCCTAAGATCAAATTAATTAAGAAGACAGTCAACTAATTAAGTTATTATAAAGTTTGAATAATACTACACATACAACATTTCTCATACAGCATAATGTGGCAAAAGATAATTGGGTGAAAGTTTATTTTTAATTTAAAATCAACCAATCATTTTTTGTCATGTCATGTTGTATGAGAAATGTTATATGTGTAATATTATGCATAAAGTTTTCAGAAATTAAAATGGGCATGCAACTGAAAGTAATTAAATTCTAGTCCTGGTATTAATTAATTATAACATATATTATTAAGTATACATGATAAACAATTAAAAACACTATATATCATGCTAATGTATGCATGATAACTATATAATAAGTTATTCTAATTCCTTCATTAAACCTAACTATAAAGCTTTGATTCCCTCATATATTTAATTAGAGTAATACTATATATATAACATTTTCCATACAACATTATGTGGCAAAATATGATTAGTTAATTTTAAATTTAAATTAAACTTTCACCAGATCATTTTTTGTCAAATAATGTTGTATGAGAAGTTGTATATGTAGTATTATTCATTTTATTAATGCTTATGTATGTATTGATAATTCACTTCCATCTCTATCACTTGATTATACATAATAGCCGTCGTTATTACTCACTCAATCATCCATATATAAGATAATTAAGAAAACACACATGTTTTCAATATGGAGAAACTCTTGGCAACAAGTAATTATAACCCTACCTTATAATTATTTTCTTGCTTTTTATCAAAAGTTATAAAAAGTGAATATCAAAAGTGATGAAAGTAGATTCGGTATAACTTAAGCCCAAAAGCTAGCTCAAGAGAAGAAAAAACCCAACTATATATGAGTCTAACCACATATATAATAGCCCACCAACTTCAACTTGGTGATGTGGGACAATGATGAATGGGTTTGACAGGCGATGTGAGACAAATACAACTTCTAACACTATCTTGACATACCAACTCTCATGCTTTGATACCATGATAAACGAGTTTAGCCCTGTAGGACAAATACAAACTTTGATACCAAGATAAACGAGTTTAGCGATAGAGGACAAATATAACTTCTAACTTTATACCATGATAAACTTGTTTAACGATGTAGAACAAATACAACTTCTAACACCAACTTGACTTTGATACCATGATAAACGAGATTGACAATATATGACAAATACAACTTTTAACACTAACTTGACTCTGACATCATGATAAACGAGCTTGGTTAAATAGGTTTAAGTAAAACCAACTCTTAATGGTTAGCTTTAAAGAGGAGAAAGCTCATCCACATATATACATTATAATGGTCGACCAACTTGGTGATATACAACAAATACAGGTTCCATAGAAAAGATGGAATAAAGATCATCATGCTAGATTCAAATTCTTTAATTGTGACCATTCCTTTTACACTTGTTTTCATCACACCACTCGTATATACGTGAACAGTCTTCATTCGAATAAGAATATATAAATTAGAAAATGACTTTCACAATTTAATAGAAAGCAACTCCACCTTTCTTTTTGTTCTGCTTTTCCTAATTTTATGAATATGTACATGTACGCAGTATTTCAACGTATTTATTTCGTGTACAAAACTTTTAATCAATTTATCATCATCATCATCATCATCATCTCCTTATTAAATTGTCTTTTTTTATACATAAAAATATCATTTATTTTTTCTTTATAATATAGTTTGTCATTTACTGTTGATTCGGGTCTTGATAGAAACAGTGTTGTTGTAACCCTAGTGGTAGTGTGTGCATGAGGTGTATTAAACGACATGGACTGTCTTCATCTCTTTTACAAGAACATTCATTCATCAATGTCCACTTTTGAAAGCTTAATTTGATGGCTAAAATGATTGAAATTGAACAATAATTATATGCAGGCATCCTGTACAGTTCTAGTGTTTGACCCGTGTGGTGAACATTTTTTATCCAATTATCTTTATATATAAATAAACTGTTCCATTCTTTTGGATCTCCAATCAGAGAGATCAACCGGCCACCTTTATTCTCAATCTGTTTGTGTAAACTTTGAACACCTCTTTCGGCTCTGTTGATTTCATTAAGGCTTGAAGATTTATTGTACATATTAAGACTACTAAAATATACGTTAAAATATCAACTTACCCTTTAAAGAATTGAACCAAATCTTTATATTAATATATTTTCCTTAATAAATAGATTAATATCCATGATTTACCATTCTTAATATGAGCCCTAATCAAAGACAAATATCTTCTTCTTTTGCTCATGATTTATCTGGAGGGTCGTGACCGTGAGATTGCTTCTTCTGAGTATTAAAGCAACCCGAACTATGTTCATAATTTCCTTTAATTATAATTAGGTATGTGTATAAAGCTCAATGCCACTTAGTTGACCTAAACATTAATTTCCAACTTAGTTACTATTACCAAGAAAGGCAAAAAGATTCACCCAATTCATGACTGATTGAAGCACAGAGATCTTGCCACGTGTTAATCCACTTGATCTGAGTTTTTCTTTTTGGCCCCACTTGAATCAAATGGGGACGTGCATGAATCCTCTTCAACTTTGTTCTATTCTATTTACTAATTATTTTCTCCCTTCTCATGAGTTATCCACACGACCGACTAGCCTACAAAGTTGATAAGGATTACATTCAAAAACCCAATCACAGTCCTTGATCAAATCATAGAATTTTATCAAACTTAGATGGCCCTTCTCCCCACCGTTGATCAATCCTCCCTGTATCAAAACTGGTGAAGTATTTGCATGTATGGATTCCCTCTCGTTCTCAGAAAGGAAGCCACCTTTCTTATGTGTATTGCTATGAAACTGGCAAGTGTAACATCCTCACAGATGTGACACTGTATCATTGATACGCCACGTTTAGAAGTTTTAGAAAGTAGATTCACAAAATTATACAATTCCCCCACAACTACCCTTTCTTTCGAGCTCTATATAAAGGACTTTAACGCTTCACATATTTCATCATTCAGCACAACAAACAATCTTGTTCTTCGCTCTTTTAGTTTCTTCTCTTTTATAGATTTAATCATGTCTCCTACTGAGATAACCACCAACAACACTACCTCTCCCACCACAGAGTCGACAGAGATGCCGAAGAAGAGGGCTTATGTTACGTTCTTGGCCGGCAATGGAGATTATGTGAAAGGTGTGGTGGGTTTAGCCAAGGGTTTAAGAAAGGCTAACTCTGCCTACCCTCTTGTTGTTGCTATTTTGCCTGATGTTCCAGAGGATCACCGCCAAATCCTCGAGTCTCAGGGCTGTATTGTTCGTGAGATTGAGCCGGTTTATCCTCCTGAGAACCAGACTCGATTCGCCATGGCTTACTATGTCATCAACTACTCTAAACTTCGCATTTGGGAGGTAAAAATATCATAAACTCTAAACCCTTTTTCACATGTTGGTGTAATCTTAACGTGGCATATTCATACTGGAAATAGTGTCCACGTGTGTGGCGGCATGTGTCTCACCATTAAAATTAATACTCTTGTTTTGTTTTGTAGTTTGTGGAGTATGAGAAGATGATATATTTGGACGGTGACATACAAGTTTTTGACAATATTGATCACCTTTTTGATGCACCGGACGGCCACTTTTATGCTGTTATGGACTGTTTCTGTGAGAAGACATGGAGTGATTCAGCTCAGTACAAGATCGGTTACTGCCAGCAGTGCCCGGAGAAGGTCCAGTGGCCAGCGGAGATGGGCTCCCCTCCTCCTCTCTACTTCAATGCCGGCATGTTTGTGTTTGAGCCTCATCTTTTGACTTACTTTGACCTCCTGGATACCGTCAAAGTCACTCCTCCGACTTCATTTGCTGAGCAGGTTAATTAATTAATTAACTCTATATTTAACATGAATGCTGAATCATTAGTAATTAACTGAATTAATTATATTTGCAGGACTTTCTTAACATGTACTTCAGGGAAATCTACAAGCCAATCCCTCCAATTTACAACCTTGTTCTGGCTATGCTATGGCGCCACCCTGAGAATGTAGACACTATAGACAAATTGAAAGTCGTCCACTATTGTGCTGCAGTGAGTGTTAATTTCTTAATTAGTGAACAAAACTATTCTTAATTAATTGACTTATAATAACAACGTTATAATTTTGTAGGGATCGAAGCCATGGAGGTTCACAGGAAAAGAAGAGAACATGGGCAGGGAAGACATAAAAATACTTGTGCAAAAATGGTGGGATATTTACGAGGATGAGTCTCTTGATTACAAGAACATTAATAGCAGTGCCATGGCCAACAATGAAAAGCTTGGAAGCTTGTTGATGGAAGCCCTGAAGAAGGATGAAGAAGAGGATGTGGTTCACCATAGGAACGCACCATCAGCAGCATAATTTATATATTTAGCAACCAATATTATAATATGATATATATAGCTAATATACTATACATAAATATGTTATGTTATGTTATAAATGCGCAGTACTTAATTTCCAAGTTTATAAGCTGTAATATTGGAAATGAAATGAATAAAATTAAGTGGCAATATTTGGTTTTCATTCTGTGGTTAAGTTTTTGTCTGTGAATTCCTGGGAAAATTATTGTGGTCTCAGAAAATCATATATCATATGTTGTGAAAGCCCTAAAGAGAAAGCAAAGATGCATATTCGGATCAGAAACTCAAAGGAATAATTAAAAGGAGAAAAGCTATAAGAATCTTTTGATATTGATTAAGTAGAGACTGTGTGTATACATCATATATCAAGTATAATATTATCCACATTCCCTTCTATAATTGGACCACCATCCTCGTGTTTTATTATATGATGCCATAAAAGGTAATGTCAAGCCAAATATATGGCAAAAAAATATCTTAGTATAAACGTCAAATAGGAAATAAATTATTAACTTGGGAAAATATCGATAATCAAATAAAAGAAATTATGCAAAAATAGAAATTATTTCAATACTTAAATACAGTATAATCACTATCGCAAAAACTTCAATTATTTCAAGACCAAATAATTCCTTTGGGAAACTTATAAGGAACAACTAAAAAGTAAGGTAATTAGGAAAGTTTTCAATATCTTATGATATTAATTTAATTATTTATATGTTTCTTTGTTACATGCAAATCAAATATCAAGATATTTTATTCTTCAAAGTTCAGTGGATTTATAACATGAGGTTTGTAATTTGTAAAACCAACCAAAATTTTGTTAAATATAAACTTTTCTACACAAGGACTATACCTAATTAAATTCAATTTTCTCGCTTTTTTCTTTCAAACATTTTGGTGAAATTATGAGTGTGTAGTATCCTTAGATTATATTTGAGTATTTAAAATCGATATAAATTTGTATATGTTAGAAATTGACTCCTTTTTGTCAGCTTTGTGAAAGCCCCGCATGGTTTGTAAAAGGATACGAAGGCTTACCTTAATTAGAGCATCTTCAATAGTGCTCTTTATTTTGAAAAACATATTTCATATAAATAAAGAGTATTTTTATTAATTTTTAAATATAAAGAACATAATTTTTTTTTAAATACAATAAACTCTTTAAATTTAATGAAGATGCTCTTTATTTTTAAGAAAGTGATTTATTAAGAAAGAGATTTAATGAGAAAGAAAATTAATAAATAAAATGCATAGGAACTTGCTATTTATTAATTAAAATTAGAATAGAGAGTGAAATTTGACTCTCTAAATGTGGAGAGTCAAACTCACTCTCTAATTTATATTTTAAAGATAAAGAGTATGTTGCACTCTTATTTTTATGGATACACTCTTTATAATAAAAAGTTTAGGTCATATAAAGAGTCATTTGGAGATGCTCTTTAGTCTTATATATCACCTGGCAAAATGGGTCCATACCCGAGGGTGAACCCATACTCATCAAATTAATATAGGGTATGGGTCCACCATTATAGACCCGTTTTTATTTTACCTGGATCTACCCCTTTTTTTAGAGTGTGGGCCGGGTATACCCACGAGTACCCGTGAAAAAGAAAAAAGTTACCCTAAATCCCTAATTCCTTCCAAAATCACTTCTTCTCACTAAAACCGGCCAATAAATCGAATTTGGGAGTTCAGGTACAATCGAGAGCTTCTTCTCATCTCTCATTTAAGCACCTAAATGAAGATAAATCAGCTGCTGCATTTGGCATTTTGGCTACAGTAAGTAATCTCTTCTCTTCTCTTTTGAATCAGTTTTGTACAACATTTTTGTAACCATAACTATGTTTTGGACTCACAATGTTGTGCACGTAAGGTTGGGTGTTTGTTGGGGCAATACTTCGACACCTAGTAGGCAAAGTGCAGGGGAAAGGTTGGTGAGTCGTCGGCGGTATGGAAAACGGCTAGGGGGTTTCAATATATCAACACAAAATCACTTAAAAAACAATCCTCAACCTCAGAACACTCCAAATCTCCGTTCAATCAACTCTAACAATTACCACTCTAATCGCAACAAAGAAACCCCAAAAAAACCAGTGAACAGGCTTGTGACAGATGCTAATTTTCATAAGCTCAGTCAAATAGAATCATATATTTTTTAATTAATTACTAATCTCAAATAAATCCTGCCAAAATAATACTTCCCCAACATGTGTTAATCAGCTTTCTCATCATGGATATGGCGTAGATTCTAAACTTCTGATTAAGATTTAAATTTCGAGCGGGGTAAGATATAAACTTCCGTTTAAGTATGTCAAGTAGAGAAAATATCTCATTGAAATAAATACTAAATATATTTAAGGAAATGAATTTCTTTGGAATAACATATATATATATATATATATAATTATTCTAGTTAATTAGCCGATAAAATCTGATGGAATTCTGTTTACGTATGCATTGATGGATACACAGCTTCTTGCATTTGCATGACTGGTTTGTACGGACGTGAAACGGTGCTTCATCAAGCAATTTCCTCTCCCTAGAAGCAACAAATTGATACTCGTCATTCCTCGATTAATTAATTTCAATGATAAATTGCAATTATGAATTATCAAAATTAAAGCTTAGTCCTATCTCCGTCTAAGAATGAAATTTTATTTGATGATGTTAAATTGCATTCCATTTATTTTCCAAATAAATAAAATAAAAATGTCATTCAATGTTTAAGTTATCATTAAAAAAAATAATTAGAATTTTATTTTATTTGATTATGATTTTGAAAAGAATTTATGATAATAATTAATTGTGATTTTAGTCAAACTCAAGATCTACTGTCCATCATATTAATCTATGCATGCAAAAAATATGGTGATTAAAGCAAGAGACACTATTAATTAAGTTAATATGAATGACAAAGAAATATATATCAAAGACTGCCAATGAGAAAATAAATTGTAGAAATTAACATGGGTCGGGACTAGGAGTTATAAAAAGCCTGTCGGGCCGAGCCTAGGCATTACCTGCCATCCCCTTAACGGGCCCGGGCCTGGTCATGGGGGTCAGGATTGGGCCCAGACCAAGGGGTACTCGGTCTTGGCCCTACCCATTGCCATCTCTATCAAGGTGTCGTTTCTGATTAAAAATTTGGTGAAATTGGCACTGTGCGGTTTCGATTTTGGTTCCACCACTTCAGGAAACGGAACCGGGAACTACTTCCAATTTTGGTATTATCCGAATTCTTTCGAAGATATCAATTACTATCATAATTCATCTAAGATCCGTATCTTAGACCGGATAGGACTCCCTCTCCTACTAAGGTAAGGGAATTAACAACTTTCCTATTCACTAAACCTCAACCACCAAAGACTCATAGTCCTACTAGGATTCGAAGATCTTACAACTATTATATAAGCAGAGGCCTACCCTCTCACAATTCATTCAATATTACACCTTAAAACCCCCAGTTCTCACCTTGAGGTTTAAGTAAACCGTAGATCCAATAGGCGATCTTAGATCAATGGGCCTGGACCCAAATGGATTGACGATGAGGCCTAAGTAAATTGGGTTCGTATTAATTGCGTTTAATCAGTGAATGACCTGGTAGGTGTAAATGTGTAATGAGCGAACCTAATAAATGGATTTTATGGTGGGCCCAATCAGAATTGGGTCATTGCTCTTAGCTCTGTTAAAGGTGTTTTCGTTTTTGGGTCTATTGAGACCGATGATATTTTTTGACCTTAACAATATGAAATAAAAAAAGGTAACAAAATGGAGAGAAAAAATGATGAAATTTGTGACTCTTTAGAACTAAGTCTTTTACACTTAGCTGAACCCCTCCGATGCTTAAGTCATATACACAATAAAATAAAATAAAAAGAGTAGTAAAACAGAGAGAAAAACTTATGTAATTCTTGATTCTTTAGAACTAAGTCTTTTACCCTTAGCCCCCTTGGGGGAGTTTATATAATCTCATCCTCTGAGATCATGTGGCGTGTTTATAGGGCTGTTTAGCCATGAATTCTGGTGGCATGGTGGCTGGTGGTCATGTTCTTAATTGGAACGTGTGAGATAGTGAGAAAGTTAATCTCCTAAGAAATAGGGAGTGGAAGTTATCTTATAATTGGAAGCAAACATATCATAGGTGGTTGACGATTATCGTCTTCTTGTGTGCGATGTGTCCTGTCACTTACTCCACTTAATTGATGGGTAATATTACGCTGAAAAACGTTTCTTATTAACTTTCTCTCACAAACACGACGTGGTAACTCGCAATGGGTTTCGTTTAATTAATTGCGAACTGTCTAGAGAAAGTTAATAAAAATGGTTTATCAGCTTGGACCGCTTTCCCTCGGGACAGACTTCTCAGGTTTAGGCCATAGACAGCCCAAATTCTTAATCTAGCCCATTTTCAATATTTTATAAATTCTAGACCCTTATTGGGATTTCCATGACCCGTTTATTTTGAGCTTTGTAGTCGGATTTTATTGATTTGGGCTAGGGTCATTTTATCCCCAACAATCATTATAATTTAATAAAGAATTTCCTCAAAATTAAGTTCCTTAAGTAATCTAATACATGCATTACAAAAAGGGTTACTACCTCTCCTTTTGTGACCAGATGATAAACCTTTTAACTATTAGGGTTAATTATACCTAAGAATCTTGTATTCGAAATGAACAAAAAAGACATAAAAGATGTTGTTGAAGAAATCATATAATATATATTTGTAAGGTTTATGAGTCATTGGATTACATCAACGGGTTCTTTTCTTACTGGCATTACTGTGTATTATTAAGGCTATTCCCATATTTTGGTTTTGTTATTCTTGACGCTATTTTTTTTTTTTAATGGGTTTGAGAGATTCGAATAACTTTTGGACCTTAAAATAATGTCCACGTCCCACCCACCATTTCTACACCAATTCATTTACACCTAATATTATCCTTGAGAAATTTATTTATTTTTAATGCACTAAGCCCTATGTTCCATAAGTCGTTCAAATAAATTATCTTGAAACGTCAAGTCTTTTCTTATATTACAAGATGTATGACAAGTCATACATCTGTATATGTATGAATAAAAATATATTCGGGGTGAGTTGGGCTGAAAATATCAGTATAGGAGCGACAAAGGTAGATAGATTTAGAGCGGCAGAGAGAT